CATAAGCTATGATTAGATCTCTCCTCTCCTATGGAAGCTAACTCGAGCCCACTAGGGCATAGTGTGTGTAAAAAGTATATCCTAAAGCTAGACCTTAAAAGTCTATTTATAGTACATGGAAGCAGGGGTTATTCTAGGGAGTTTCCTCCTAAAAGTTGGCCAAAATCATCCATGTAGGACTTGAACTCGGTTCTTCAACTATTGGACGAATTAAGCATCTTCTAGATGATTCCAGGGACTTGGGCTAGCGGCACCCACCACTGTTGTGTTTTTTTGTGGGCTAGGTTTCTTGTGGTCCTACTAACTTCTCTGTCAAATTTGGGCGCGACTTGACGGGTAATGACCAGCTTTGACCTTCGTCAAACGGTAAGCCTGCTGCACTACCAAGTCTACTTCTCTAGTCCATAAAGTGAGCATCGGATGTCCAAATATATCTTTATTCGAGTCCATGAGCTTGTAATTTCGTTCTCCTTCTAATCCATTGATGAGCCATATTCCTCTTGAGCATATTGTATTCTTGAAAATCACAAAACAACACCAAATGGCGTAATAATACAAAACACACTCAAGGTTTATCTTAGGCACATTGATCAAATAGTTACGATATTTATATGAAATACAATGAAAACTACTAAAGGCGCATTGATATAAGGGGAAAATGTACCAAATATGAGAGTGATAAACACTATAGTTTTAGCTTCATTAATGACGGCGGTGTAGAGATATAGAGCTACTGTAGAAACAAAGAGGAGAAGTAGAAGAGCCCTCATCATCGCGTTGTCGGTGGGGTAATCCTGATCATTTTCTAGAGTTCTTAGTTTTTTGTGATTGTGAAGAAAGACTAGGCTTTAGTGAAATTCCAACAAGGAAACTGATTTGAAGATTCCTATTTGTTTTTTAATAATTTAATTTATTTTTCATTTAAATTGACATGTCAGCAACTTAAATTCCAAACATTAGAATTAACTTAACGGAGTTGGACGGAGAGTGTCCATTGATAAAGAAAAACGTAAAGTTAGTGACTACTAAGAAAGAAACTTAGTGAACAAACGTGTAATTTATTCGACACTTTAGATATGAATTGAGGCTTGATAGTATCAGATGTCGTGTATTTATATTTGGTGAAAATCGTGTATCTATCTTTTTTATATTGTATTTGTGTCTTATATTATTAAGGTATGACGTCTTTTATGGAAAGCGGATCAGGTGAGTAACATGTCCACATCAGCGTGACATAAGCATCCCTCTCTTTTGGAAAACCTTTTATCTTTTCCCTTTTAATCTTTAACGAACGATTTCTCTCTCGTTTTAAGTTGGAATTTAAATTTTTTTGCACAAACAAATTAGATTAATTGTGCTCTTTAAAATGATATCCACTTTGATATATTTTTAGAACAAAAAAAGTGAGGCATTTTTTACCAGTCAATACTATATGGTATTGAATAGGAGAATACCATATGGTATGAAAGCGTATCATGATGGTATGAACATACCAAGACTGTAGGAAGGTTGAATTCATGATATTAGGGGTATACTAACTGTCATTTACGACTTTCATAATTTTTTTTGACAAGTTTTAAGACTTTCATAATTGTTTACCACAAGTTACCACCCCATACTAGGGTGGTAAAGTATGGTAATTTTTTGTCCTGTATTTTTTTCACCCAGAAATTTATAGATCCAAATAGATCATGGTAACGAGAGGTATAAAAAAATATTTCTAAAAAAATATTGATAATTGATCTCATTTTGTAGAACACAACAAACTCCTTCCATCTATGCAAAAAAAAAAAAAAAAACCGAGTTAAAACAAAGAAGATAAGAATCGATTAAAAAACTAGGGAAAATTTAATGTCTTTAATTCACAACTCTTAGATCTGGATTTTCTGGGGCCGCTTCAATCTAAAGGTCCAGATTTAGTTACTCATAGGTTAGTAACCAATAGTTACTGACCCTATCCTGAACCTCTTTTATGATTCCGAATTTGGAAATTCCGGTGCTCGAAGACTTATTATGATTTGTCGTTGCTCCCATCAACTTTGGTTCACCAATTTTAGGCCCATTGGTTGAAATGAATTTCGGCTCAAGAGTCTTCGGCGTTAGTGGCTCAACGTCGAGCTTCTCAACCTCTTTCCCCACGCGTCCAGGATTCAAGGCCTCCTCCCACCCCTAGTAATTTCAGTGATTGCGCAGTTTGATGTTGTAACCCCAACTTATGTGGTGGATGTCAAGAACCAGTTGATCCCAATAACTCGAGTTGTTGAGAGTGGTTCAATCTTGGATCATATATTGTTTACTAACACACCCCCTCAAACGAAAGCCACCATATATGGGCTTGAAGTTTGCACAGGTCCGGATACCATGTGCTTAATAAAAACATATTATGGGGTCATCGGGATTCAGACACAAGACCTTTCAATCACATAAGTCTCTGATACCATGTCATCGACATAGAGAAGCAAGACCACAAGACCTAGGGAAGTAGAACGAGTGAACAATGAAGGATCATTCACACTCTAACGAAAACCCAGATCCGAAATCGTGGAATTGGAACTTGTCGAACCAGGCCCAAGGCGCTTGCTTCAATCCATACAAAGACTGATGTAGTAGACATACATGATCAGAAGTACCGAAGGAGTAACCCGGAGGACGTTCCATATAAACAGTTTCCTTTAACTCACCATGAAGGAATGCATTTTTTACATCCAACTGATATAGAGGCCAACCATGAAGTGATGCGACAACTAGAAGAGTGCGAACTGAGACCATATTAGCTACAAGAGCAAAAGTTTCTTCAAAATCAACCCCATACTCCTGTGAAAACCCTTGAGCCACAACCCGAGCTTTGAACTGCTCAATCGACCCATCAGGAAGAACCTTCAATGCATTAACCCAACGAGATCCGATCACAGGCACCGAGGGCGGAGGACGTGGGACCAACTCCCAGGTGTTGTTGGCGTGTAAAGCATCCTCTTCCTCGTGCATGGCCCTTTCCCAATTCCAATTTCCTTTATCTTGGGAATACTTAGTAGGCACGGGAATGGGATCAACATGATAAAATACTAAGTTTTGATACTAAGCAGTGGGTTGGCCAAGATTCGCCATGAGAGAAGGTGAACAGGAGGCACTGTTGAAGAGTGCGCAGCTAGGGCTGGTGAGTCGGGTGGAGACAAATCACCGGAGGAGGTTGACGAGGTGAGAGAGTGGGGCGGAGAGGGATCGGGGGGCGAAGCAGGTGTGAGTAGAGGATCATCATCAAAATCAGAAAACGTAGGAAGACCTAGGGAAGTGTCAAACAAGGGTGGAGACTCAGAGGAACTCGACGAATAATACATCACATTTTCAAGAAAACTACATTACAAGAGACACGGACACGATGATTAGAAGGATCGTAACAAACATAGCCCTTGTGAATATCACTATAACCAAGGAACACACAACGAGTAATTTTAGACGAGATTTTGTACGTCCAGACCGAGGAAGAAGAACAAAACAAAGGCACCCAAAGACACGTAACCGAGAGTATGGAGGAGGTTTCGAAAACAGTTTAAAAAATGGACTAGACTGGCCTAACACGAGCTTAATTTGATAGTTGATGAGTTAAACAGCAGTGGAACACTTTCAGGCCAGAATGTAGAGGGAACATAGGACGCAAGAAGGAGAGCACGAGTTACCTCTAGAACATGCCGATTCTTACGCTCAACGACCCCATTTTGTTGGGAGATACCAGGACACGCTTTTTGATGTAAAATACCAAGAGAACAGTAAAGATCAAGAAGAGGATTGGAACTGAACTCACCTCCCTTGTCGGAACGGACTACACGAACTTGCCTATCAAATTGAGTATTGATCATAGTTAAAAATTCAGTGGCAATGGCTAAGAGGTCAGATTTCAGCAATGTTATGAATCATTTGATCCCAATAACTCGAGTTGTTGGGAGATGTTCAATCTTGGATCATATACCGTTTACTAATTGTGGGAGGTGTTGGTTTTGTCGAGTTCCAAAGAGATCGAGTAGTGGAGTTTGCTTTTGGGCATTTCTACAAATTGTATTTCTAATAGCTTTCCTGTTGAGCTCTTGGTTGTCCGGGATGCTCTCTGATGGTGCCTCTAACATTCTTACAGTAATGTATTATTTTGTGGTGATGCACAAGTGATCGTTCAGATTACCAACACAAAGGACTCTCCTAAGCTCTCGGCAGTGCTCTCTTATATGAAGTTCAAGTGCCGTGTTCTTCTTTCCAGAGTGTCTCATATCACTTCGAGCCTTCTTGGTATAACATGCCACCACATATTGTGATAAAAAAAGACTCTCTTATTGTTGAATCGGCTTCTAGTTGACAACGAGTATATCTTCTTTCTATGTTGTGATTTGACATGTAAAGCAGGGGCGGAGCTACATTGTAGCTAGGGTGGGCCCCGGCCCCCCCGGGATTGATCCCGGCCCCTAGGTTCTTAAAGATATTTCGTACAAATTTTAGAAGTAGAATATGTTCTGTAAATTATATCATCAAATAGTTATGTGGTCTAATGGTAGCCAAGCTTAATGTGTATTATAGCACATGGGTTCGATCCACATTGGTTACATAATTTATATATATATATATATATTTTGCATTATGCGCACAATCAATCCCTTATCAAATTTTATATACAATCCATCCTCCCAAATCATCTGTCCAATCTACCTGTGATCCTAATCTTCCCAGGGAGAAGAGCTCACAGCCACAGAGTCACATACATCCAACGTCTGGCCGACGCTTTCTTTAACTCTCCCTCAATCATGCAACCCACCATTCCCCACACATTTTATAATAGTTGCAATTAAAACGTTCCCCTCAATAATTATATATATATCGCCATCCATCCTCCGCAACATTTCCACACTATCCAAACCCAAGAGTAAAGTAGTAGTACATCTTCTCGTGTCGAAACAGTGATTTGAGTCCTCTCTCTCTCTCTCTCTCTACCTTTTTCAACCCAACCACCTGCCGGAATCATGTCGGAGAGCCTGGCCGCCGACGAGATAGTGGCGGAGCTGCGGAACGACATCAGGGAGCAGAACCAGCAACTGGACGAGGCGTACGCCGAGATCGACGCCAAGGACAAGCTGCTCAAGGAAAAAGACAAGGAGATAGCCGAGCTGAAGAAGGCGGCAGCTACTGCTCAATCCGGCGGCGGTGGCGCGGCGGGAGAGAGCCTGACCGGCGACCAGATCGTGGAGGAGCTGAGGAACGACATCAGGGAGCAGAACCAGCAGCTTGACGAGGCGTACGCGGAGATCGACGCCAAGGCCAAGGAGATCGCCGATCTGAAGAAGCAGCTTGCAGCTGGGTCCACCGCCGGCGCCGGCGCGGGAGGAGGATCAGGCAGCAGCGCCGCCGATGCTGAGGAGATCAAGAAGTTGAAGGAGCAGGTGGCCAAGCTGAAAGCGGCTATGAACGCCTTGCTGGATGCCTAATTAATTAATTAATTAATTAATGGTTGATTTGGGTGATGTGTGAGCTCTTGTGAAATAATGGATCTTTAATTTGTTGTGATTATTGGATCTCTGTGTGTATGTTATCTATGTTTCAATCCTGTGTGTATTGGTAGTTTGGCTCGCTTGATTCACTATGGAATAATGAATGAAAGATGGATCTTTCTTTCAGTCTTCATCTTTTAGCTTTAGTCGAATTATACTTGTAGTTTGAAATGGTGGAATTATGTTATGTATGGACATAATTAATTATTCACAGAAGATCTCTCAAATAACAAGGGTGTGATGCAGATATGGTGAATCTCAATGTACACATGGCAAGCTACAGAGTTGTGACATCGGAATGAACAAAATTTGAAATTTAATTGACAAGCAATTAAAATGTACTCATTTAAATAAAGGGTTAATTGCATGGTTGGTCACTAACTTACAAAAAGCGTTCATGTTTGGTCACTGAAAAAATTTAAATCCATTTTTGGTCACTAACTTTACAAAACCAGTTCATTTATGGTCACTCTCCGTTAGCTGCCGTCCAACGCCGTTAACGGCGACCGTTAAGTGATGACGTGGCTGACGGATTCGCCTAATCAGCACCTTTTGACCCTAAAATTGACCGCCACGTCATTTAAACCCGCCATGTCAGCTAAACCTAACCAAACCTAACCAAACCTCTACCCAAACCCGAAAAGACCCAACCCGCTAACTAAAACCAAACGATTTTTGGACTAAACCCTATTCTAATCGCGCAGCCTTCCTCCAGCCTTCCTCCATCGCGCAGCTTCCTCCCTTCCATCGCGAATTCGCCGGCGGCGCAGCCTTCCTCCCTTCCATCCGCGCAGCCGGCGCAGCCTTCCTCCCTTCCATCCGCGCAGCCTTCCTCCCTTCCTCCCTTCCTCCCTTCCGTTTTCTTCCTCCATCGCGCGCGGCTGACTTCCCCCCTTTCGCGAACCCAAACCCTAAATCGAAGCTTCGAAGCTTCGATTCTCCTCCACTCTCTGACAACGAGGCCGGTTCCCTTTGTTTATTCGATTCTCCTTCCACTTTCTGAGCAGTCAACAAAACCCTAAAGGTGAGTTTCTGCCTTTTCTTTGTTTATTCGAAACCTGTCTGGAAAGACTGAAAAGGAGAAAAGAATAGGGGGCAGAGGAAAGAATCTCGTGTGTGTTTAGCTTTCTTTTATACTAAATTGCATGTTGTTGTTGGTTTTCCAGGTCACCATTTCACCGAAGGCAGCATGGTGGGGCATGTGCGGGCTCCAAATGAAACTCAGCCTAACTATGGTAAGTCTCCCGTCGTTTTCGCCCTTGTCATTATGGTAGATGGCTGGTTTTGATGGTAGATGGGTGGTTTGGGTTGTCCTTTTCCACAGTTGGCATTTACTAGAGATGAGGACATCACTTTGGGTAGAATAGGAATAGAAAAATGCAGGGTTCTGTGGGAATGAGGAAAAATGCAGCCTTAGGGTTTGACTTAGTCTTTCTTTGAATAGAAAATGGTGGGACTTGACCACCTACTTACCTGCTCCATAACTGCTCATTTCCTTTTAAATTAACTCCTTTCAATTGCTTTTTTTTTTGACCAAACAGCTGCTTCCAGTGGAGAATTCACATTTGCAGTTCATGTGTCCCATGAAGTGAAAGAGGTTGGCGGCAAACATTTCCTCAATGAAACCTCCACAGTGCATTGGGACTATGCAGACATTGATGAACTCTCAGTCCTCGACCTTCCTGGCATATATGAGGCGTGTGGTGGGAAGATTAAAGAGCCGAGGTTCTTCTGGAAAGATCCTTCCAACGATGCAATGTCAGAGCTTGTCAATGATGAAGATATTCTGAGCATGTCAATAGCGGCCAACGGCAAGGGAAGAGTCATCGAGCTGTATGCTTTCGCGGTTGATGATCTTGACGATCTCTTGGATAGTGAAGTTGAAGAAATGGAGGCTGCCAGTTTGGGAAGAAAGGGGAAAAATGTTGCTGGAGATGATTTATCAGGTGATTCTGACTATCATGAGGATGAAGACAGCGACTATTTGGAGGATTCTGGAGAAGATGGTTCAAGGGACAATGCACATTTTGCAGCAAATATCAGTCAAGAGGTGGAAGCCGACATGGGTACATTTGAAATGGATGATTATCCTGAACTATTTAGGGAGTCTCCTGATTATCCAGACTCTGATGATCGTAGGAGCATTGCTGAATCAGACTCTGATGAAGGAGACGAATCTCCTGAATTCCGGATTGATCGAGACATGGAGATGCCTACCTTTGCTGCTTCCCAGAAGTTTAGCAACTTTGGAGTCCTAAAAGATGCAATAAAACAGCATGCTTTCGTCGAGAAGAGGCCAGTTCGCTTTAAAAAGAACGATGGAAAGCGGCTGCAAGTAGTGTGCGAACCTCCATGTGATTGGTACATTTGGGCATCGAAGATGAGCACCGAAGATTCTGTCCAAATCAAGAAGTGCAAGGTTGAGCACTCACCTGATTGTAGGAAGACCTTCAAGGTCAAGTACGCAACTGCAAAGTTCCTCGGCTCCAAGTTAAGTAAGAAGATGGCATGTGATAGGAACATGAAAAGGGCCTTGCTGAAGCACATTGTCAAAGAAGACTACAAAGAAGACGTGAAGAACTCTAAGGCGTGGAGAATACGACATGCAGCAATTGAGGCGGTTCGTGGGAGTTTGAAGGATCAGTATAGGTCATTGTACCATTATGCCGAAGAGTTGAGGAGGAGCAATCCCAACTCTACCGTTATCATTGAGCAGAGAGAACAATGCTTCAACAGGATGTATGTTTGTTTCGCGGCATCCAAGGTGGGGTTCAAGGCTGGATGTAGACAGGTGTTAATTGTTGATGGTTGTTTCTTGAAGCACGAGTATGGAGGGCAGCTACTATCAGCAGTTGGTGTGGATGCCAATGACCAATACTACCCAGTTGCATTTGCCCATGTTGGAGTAGAGAACAAGGAAAATTGGGAATGGTTCCTTGGTAATGTTAGGGACGACTTGAGTATAATGGACTCTCCTGGTTGGACTTTTATGTCTGACAAACAAAAGGTAAAAAATCTATTTAGTTGCTGATTTTATTAAGTGATTTTATTAAGTGATTTTATTAGTTGCTGATTGGTGTTTGTTTGTTGTCTTCAGGGTCTCTTGCCAGCACTTGACGAAATGTTTCCAAACTGTGAGAAGAGACACTATGCACGACACTTGTGGACAAATCTGAAGGGTGCTTGTGGAGGTGGCCAAGAGTTGAAGAACTTATTTTGGACAGCAGCTAGGTCCACAACTGTAGCTGAGTTCAAACATCATATGCAACTGCTGTCCGATCTTAATAAGCCAGCCTACGATTGGCTGATTAAGAAGCCCTTCTATCATTGGACCAGGTCTCATTTCCTAACTTACACCAGCTGTGATATTCTGAGTAGCAATAATGTAGAGAGTTGGAACAACACTATATTGGAGGAAAGGGATTTGGGTCCGATTAGCATGTGGGAGGGGATTAGGAGGAACTTGATGCTCCTACACGCCCGTAGACAAGAAGCGATCAGCAAGTGGCCAGGTCCTTTGACGGAGAAAATTGAGAAGAAGCTGCGGGAGTGGGAACAAGAAGCTGTGAAGTGGACAGCTATTTCAAATGGAAGGGGTCAGTTTGAATTGACTTGGCATGACAAGCAGGTAGTGGTCAATTTGAAGTCGAAGACTTGCACTTGTCGTCGATGGGAGTTAACTGGGATCCCTTGTGAGCATGCAATCCAGGCAATTGGTGTGGGAAACGATCAATTGTATGATTATGTAGCAAATTGTTACACCAAGGAAACCGCAGCAGCCATATATGAGCATTCCATTTCGCCAACCAATGGTAAGGAATATTGGCCACAGTCTGAGTTGGGAGATTGTGGCATACCTCCTGTTCAAAACTCGAAGAAGAGAGGAAGACCAAAGAAACAGAGGAGAAAGGGATTAGATGAAGAAGCAGAAGCCAAGAAGAAACAAAAGAAAGGTGGGAGAGAATCATCGAAACCGGAAGGGAAGCAATACAAGTGCAAAGTTTGTGGTCAACTAGGCCACAACAAGGCATTCCATGATCCAGCAAGGAAACAGAAGGCAGAAGAAAGGAAGAAAGAGAAGGCAGAAGCAAAGAAGAAGCAGCAACTTGAAAGGGCTGAGCGAAACCGACTTGCTGCATTGAAGAAGCAGCAAGAGAAAGCTGCAAAGGCAGCCACTTCTTCGTCTAGGCAGCCCCCACACGTGGTTCAATTAATGCCAGATGTAAATGTTTATGACTTTCTTCATTTCCCCGGCTTGTTGTTGGTTTTCCAGCATACTAATGTAGGTTAATTTGCAGGGAAGTTCTCGAAGGCCATCATCAAGTCAAGGCTCTCAACTCTCACAGATTGCAAGCCAAGTGACTCAAGAAGAGCAGATGTGAAGAGTAGATTTAAGTTATTGTGAATGGTTATTTTGAACTTTTAAACTCTAAGGCTTCTTGCAAATCAACGTGGATTTGCCATTTTGTCATACAAGTGCAAATCAATGTTGATTTGCCATTTTGTCATACAAGTCCATGGAGAAGGAACTTGTTAATTATGCATGGCTCTTTTGGACAACATAGCCGTTAATGCACTAATTATGAATGAATCTTAGATGTGATTTGTTTGTTTCCGACTTAACTGTCAAATAGTGTAATGCAGAACAGTTAGGTATTGAAGTGTTGTTCTAAATCTGGCTTTTCAAGTTATTGGAGTGACCAAATGTGGACCTTCTCATGTTTTTCAGTGACCAAATGTGGACCAAACATGTTTTTCAGTGACCAAATGTGGACCTTCTCATGTTTTTGAGTGACCAAATGTGGACCTTCTCATGTTTTTGAGTGACCAAATGTGGACCTTTTCATAGTTTTCAGTGACCAGATGTGGACCTTTACAAGTTTTTGAGTGACCAAATGTGGACCTTCACATTTTTTAAGTGCCCAATTGTGGAGCTT